GCTACCATAACCACTCTTGAACAAAGCTCAGATCGCATATGTTTACGAGTGTCAGAAAAAGAACTCAATCTACCTACTATGCCTTGATATGCTATTTAATTGTAAAATTTTAATTTTAATTACTGAGTTTACTCGCGTTTTGATCTCGCCTTCAGGTGCGGTGTATTTAAACAGATACACCCTTAATTTTAGAAACTTTATTGGCCTCTGGTATAATGTTAATTTACTGGTTATAGCTCTTAGTAGCTGATGCCAGAAGCAAAGAAATATGATCGAAGATCCAAAGAACTTAATCAGGATGCTGGGGTTTTAATTTTTGAATTTAATAGTTAAAAATACTTTTTTCTTTGCATACCGCCGGTAGTGAACCCCTGGCTTATACCATCGGGCCATAATGGCAGAGAATGTTTGAGATCTCCTTCATTTCCTGTGGTAGTATCCATTGTTTCAAAACCTGTTGAGCTCTTTCCCTGGCTGGAACAACTCGTAATTTCATCATCAATGTTGCTGTCGCCTTAATAATCCAAATCAGAACTAATACTAGTGTCTAGATCTTGACAATTGCTTACTTCTTTATTTGGAACTATTTGCATCTCTTAAACTACACAACACTTCTGAAGTTGGGTTTGCTTCTCCAACTTCTTTTTATATTGACTTCCACACAATCTTTTTTTCCCACCAGACAATGCAAAAAAAGTTAATTGGATAAGGTTGTAAGGTTTATCCTAAGTATTTAACAGTTATCTTTAGTTACAGCTACTTTCCTATCCTTCCTAATTTCATCTCACAATTTCCTACCAAAATGTGCTTTTAGAATCGTGTTTAATGCAAATGAGTAAGAGCGGTATTTAAGCTGAAGTTCCACTGATTTTGTTCGAGAGTCAGAGTTTCAGACTAGTGCGCGTTCGCCTTTACGCTACATCTCTCTAAGCTATTACTACGCTCGTCCGTATTTCAGGCCCCTTGATAGCTTTGCCAGCTTATTTGATATTTAGAGGCCAACTACGTCTTGCTAGCTTTGGCTATATCTTTTTAGTTACGCATTAATTAAGTTTGATTTCTTATTACTTTGAGTTCAAGCCCAATTGGAGGCTTTGCTGTACGCTTTGAGAAAGGAGCCAACTGTCAAGTTCTTATTTTGAGAAATAAAGGGTAATTAACCCTTCTTGAGTTTTTATCTCTGTTTATGAACTAAAGTGATTATTTGCTTAAGTGTTCACGAGGTTCCTACACAATTGTTGGATAAAAGCTTGGAACCCCATGAGGTTAATCTAATAATCAAAACCTAATGCGCAGGGTATCTTCTAAAGAATGGTAAAAAATAACCTGAGATGCCTTGATCAAAATATAAGGATTTAAAAAAAAAAAAAAAAAAAAAATGTTATACATTTCGAATATACCACGGAGCAACCAACCAGAAAGTTCTATTTAAAAATAATACATATAGCAAAGTTTTATTGAAATTGGTTTAACAGCTCTCCAGAAAATCACAATTAAACATAAATACATTTAAAGACAATTCAATTGAAAAAGTCGTTGAATGAAATTAAAATATTTAAATCTGAGAAAATTAATTTATTACATTTTCATTCATTTTTTTTAAGAGGGTAAAAAAGCTTGTTAAAATCTGTCAGCAGTGGACAAGCAATTCTCACTTCATATCACGTCTACAAATACCCAGTACTTAGAAGATTGTCTATTCTTGTCTGCTGTGCATCTGAAAAGGGAGGAATGACTCGAAGCCTGTCGATTCATGTTGTATCTAATTTTATTTTGCGGTTCCTTTATTTTCTAGATTCAGGCAATCGGAATATATTTCTTGATTTTTCTTTTTTTTGGTGTAGTTCAGTTGGTTTTGCCGCCCCTAAATTTTGCAGTCATAGGCCATTGCCTACCGCCAACCCTGTTGTGAGTTACACTCTTGCAGGTTACTTTGAACTGCATCTTAATTTAATTTAGAAAGAGCTTCCTGAATATATGATTTTTGGCTGAGAGCACCCAAAATAACAGAATCCAAGGATTTCATACACCTCTTTTCCCATCACAAAGCTCACAGGATTCTTTGAGGAATCTAGCATTTGTTGCTTTCTGTCTCACAGCACCATCTTTTAAAAAACGAAGCCAATTATTGCACCACTGCTGCCACGTGTTTTTGAATGTGGCAAATGACCTTGGATTTCAACACAGGTCTACAGCATACAAACCTAACACTGTAACAAAGGCAAAAGTGGTAACAAACAAAGTACTTTTGTGGCTAATATTTTAATATGCATTTTTGTGCGAGTGTTGACTGGCCACCATGCTGCTCCAAATGTTTTACTATATAAGTTTTACTTAGAAATTGCTCTTAACCTTTTTTCTCATTACAATTATTAAAGTAAGGAAGCTTAATTTGAACTTAAAAGTCTTTTTATATATTTACAAAAATTAGATAGCTGTTGACATTATAAATAGAAATTAATACGAATAACATGATCTTAACAGAAACATGGCATCTACACATGAGAATCTGCAGCTTAACAAAATTAAATATTATTGTTTTATTCAATTTATCATTTCAATTAATTTGGATATTACGGTAAACAATTTCATAAATTTCACATTTCCTCCTCCTTTAAAATAAATTATTTAATTCCCTAATTATGTGTGAAGAAACATATGCAAAATGTAATAAATTAATAACCACAACTTTTGGAGAGAAACTCAAAATTAAAAATCAATGAATTAGACGAGAAGAAATAAAAACTATACGAATCTTTGAAAAAATACTTTATTCACTTATGAGAATTTTTTCTATAACTGATCTAAATTACATACAAAGTATTGGAGAATATATGGAGGGAAGATATTACAATTTTTCTGGTCTATATTCTCAAATGATTAAAAAATTTTTTTGATAAGTATTTTTATTAACCAAGAATGCATATTCTCAAATAACTGAGAATATTATAGCATAACATAAATGCAAACTTTATCACTAAATTTGCAGATATTTTTAATATTACGTTTTCACAACTAGAATATTTAAAATAAATTTCAAGAACATTTCAATTCACAAATAAATGGAAACAGAATCTTGTGAAGAATCAGGCACTTCAATTCACTGAGATATTAATTTCACACTAATATGAGGCCTTTTGTAGCATTTTAAGATTATATGTTTTAAAGGTTCATAGATAATTTTTGAATGTCATATTGATATAGATTCACTCAAGATCAATAAACTTCTTGGGGTAAGAGGCTCGGCATAACAGCATTTAAATCTCATCTACATATATTCAGCAAAAGGAATAATATTGATGAGACAGAAGCACATAAATCTAAATTCTTCAGCCAAATCTAGTTTCAGATTTACATGTCTTTTAAAAGAATATTTTATAGAAGTATGTATTTTGAAAGAGATCCTTCATTCTTGAAGAAAGGGAAAATATTCTGCAAATAACAATTTTAAACAGGTAGGTTATTTTTAATCATAACCATTATATGCAACATACGAAACCCCAACACTGAAACACTACAACATTAACCTTTTTCAATGAAACTGCAAAACTGTAATGCACATTTAGTATACACCTATACTACCACATACAAATGTTGACAAGTTTTTTTTATAAAAATATTTGAAGCTCTTTTAGCTAAAGGTTGTGTATTAGAAACCAAAAATTAACCACAGAAAGAAATTAATAGTTCTTTATCATTAAGAAAATTTGAAATATAATAGATTAACTCAAGATACGTAAAGAAGTTTATGTGCCATAAAAGAAAGATGGTTGTCAAAAACAGTCAATGTGCAAGCATGATAAACGAAAATAATCACCGGTGTTTCATTCACATACAAGAAGAAATCAGCACAGTTACAGGGTAGAAAGTATTACGAAATAACTAAAAAAAAAGGGGGGCACATAGCATTATGGATAAATAGAAAAAGATACATTTTTCTTCATTCTTAACTATTCTGGAAAAAACAAGAAAACAGAAGAGATTATGGAAATTTTACCTATTTGAATAGTAGCAAAAATTTAATGAAACTAAAAAAATGGACTGGAGTAAAAGTCATGTATCCGCAAGGTTTATTTGAAAATATTTCCACGTTTTTAAAGATATTAATTTGTTTTTCAGTCCACTTCATAAAGTACTTTAATGACCTTAAAGGAAAATCTAGACTAAAACTTTGATTATTTTATTCATAATGAGTGTTTTATTCAATTAATATTTGATAACAGAATAAAAATCAAGATCAAATAAATTTAGCTTCATAAACTTCAGCTGAGGTGAGAACATGAGACCTTTCACAGATCTGCTAAGACTAAAATAAGAAAACAGCACATTTTTATAAAAAGAAGGGAGAAAAAGATTAAAAAAAATGATTAGAGATACAAGAACTCCCCAAAGATGCAGTTTCTAATAAAGATAGCACCATGTGAGTGAAGAAAGTTACATCATTTATCACCGGTGTTTCATCCCTCCAAGAATGTATTGTGTCACATTCATGGAAACGTCACTACACTAGGAAAGACAATTGGGATTCACATCGATTCACAAGTAGAAGCTCTTAATGGATTGACTAAAGAACAACACAAATTGTGATAATTGAAGAAGCTGTAATTTGACACTAATGCAGAATTTTCCTAATGGAAGCAAATATGCAAGAGGAGAGAAAATACTAGTGACTTTCTAATTCTAAATAAATTAAGCATCTGAGATTCTTAATGACTTTTTAAATGCATAAAAATGTTTTTGAAAATAATATCTACCATATTATTATAAAATTTAAAGAAGCATAAAGCTAATTTTTTTTTAATTTGCAGATATATAAAAGCTAATATAAATAATTTCTGCTATTGTCACAAGATACTTTTGTAAAAATTTTCATTTTTTTTACAGAATTTTGTAGTATAATTAATTGTCAAGTTTTATTATAAATCTTTCATGACACATAAAAGGGTTAAGATTAAAAAAAAAAAAAATTTAAAGTTTTGATATTTCACCAGGTTTTACGCCATTTTTTTTTTAAGGTAAGCATTTTCTTTTTTATTTCTAGGTAAAATTTCTTATTTTAAAATACCATATTATGCAGGTCTTGTGGCTTAGCATACCAGTTACTGTTAACTTTTTTGCCTCAGTTCAGTAAATAAAAAAAGATATACAGATATATTTCATAAGCTGGAGACTGGAGAATATATGATAAATTAAGTATTTGATTTAAGATCATAGTAAGTATTTCAGTAATACTGGTACAGTGTTTATTAAGCATTAAAGCCTTAAAATTTTATTATTTTATCGCTATACATGTGATCTAAAATTAAAATTTATCATTATTATAAGACCTAATGAATTTATTTTAAAGGCTTTTAACTATTTAACATTTATAAAATACATTGTTGCTTTGTTATAAAAAATTTCTATTATTATATATTAAGACTCAAGATATAAAAACTCAACTTCGTGGGCAATAAAGACAGAAGGGTACATACCACATAATCTAGCACTAAAATATTAAACTTGAGCATTATCCATACTTTGTGGAAGAGAATATATAACACGGCACAAAGGGAATGTTCACATTTGGTACATGACGACAATAGGTTAAAGGCAAAATCTATTAAAATGCGCATTACAGTTGAGCCAGTCTCATATCGTTGATGATTCAACATGTTGAGTGTGGTAGATCAGAATGCTGCATGTAACAGGTCTTAGAAAAGGAGGTGAATTAAATTAGACCGTCTTACCAGGCTCTGATCAAGATATGATTACGGCCATATGCACAATATGCTTTCAGAGACTTTGAACATTCATTTTCCTGGTTTTTATTAAGAGAAAAACAGGATTACATAGAATTACAGAATTATTTTGGAGCCCACCCCCCAGAGTATATGACCTTGGGCACTGAAGTGATCAGGCTCTTTTTATGGGGTCAAGATACACATCCCTCGTCCACCTACAATATGTTAATACAAAAGGATGTTTTAAGAAACATTAATTACATTTAGAGAACCTAAGTTAGTTAAATGTTAAGTTATTAAAAAAATTAGCAAGTAACATTATCAACAGAAAAACTTAAATTACCTCTGCACAAAATTTGGAAATTTACACTTAGTGATGCACCATTATACAATTTTAAGTAATTTTTTTTTACAGTAATATGAAGCTGTATAATATGCAATATGTAATTTGAACACAGCATTAAATACTGAGTCAAACATGATTTCTGGCATTAAGTCAGTAAAAAAGCACTAATAAATATCAAGATATTTCCATTTGCAAGGAAAATACAAATAAAATCTTTTGATAATTATAACTCAATTCACACCATTTCAATTCAATTTCCTTCTCATAGATCAGTACTATATGAATCAGAAAAGTAATCCTTAATTAAAAATCCTGCACCTACTATTATTTCTTTTTGCATACATGATATTCAAGAATACTTAATTTCTTGAAATTTTAAAAACTAACTTATATGAAATCAGTTTTATAATTATTTAAATTTTCTTACATTATCTGAAATTTCTCTTTAACGTACTCCACTGTATTATTATTATTATACATCTTAACAGCATTTTGTACTTTTTAACAAACATTGAGCAACTTTTTTTACCGTTTGTGACAATTTTTTAAAATTTTGTTTAGAAAAAATTCCGATTTTTGAAAATGTCTCATATGAAAAAACTGTGAATTGTAACAAATCTAAATGATATGAGATCTGTATGTAACAAAAGAAAATTTATCTTTAATTTCCTGTAGGAGTTAGTATATTACATTACAGTATATGATCTTGGGCAGCTGCTAGATGAAAATCAAAAGCAATAATCACCTCTACTGCCAGAAATGATGCAATGAACTTTATGCAATATTGTGATAATGCACAGTCATGTATATGCACTATTAGTTCCTATTTGAAATAAATTTCCATATTTGGAGCTTTTATCTCAAATGTAATACCAGTAAAATTTTTAATTTTCATTAGTTCATATATAAATATATTTAAATTACAAGTAAAGTCAATATCCTTTAGTAACAGAGAAATATATATATTTCATTATTTAAATTTAAAACTTCTTTCAGCTCAAATTCATATTGAAACATTTACTTACAGGGGAAAAAAAAAAAAAAAAAAAAAAAAAAAAAAAGCTCTAAAGCTTGTTTATTTTTCTCTTTGCTAATGAAAAAAAAATTATAACAACATAAAGAAAATAACAATAATAAAATCTCAAATATTGAATAAAGAGTTATACAAATGCTACAAAACAGGCTTTTTTAAGAAGGTTACAATGAGAGAGGATTTAGAAAGGGTATATTAAAAACAAAAGATAATCAGAAATATTTTTACTTTAATCTATAATGTGGAATTTCAGACTTATTTTGATTTGATCTGAATTTAACAGATCATTTTTATACAAAAATGGATCAAAAACACCAATACATTAAATTTTTCTCTTCATTTTGATCTGATCTCATTTTAAGGAAGCAATTTTACCAGTAAAACGGATTAAAATAACAGTACATTTGCAGTATCTTTCACTTTGTTCAAGAAAAAGGTATTTGTATTGTACATATTATTTTTAAAAATGACACCCTGCTAACAAAAGGCTACTGTAATAGCAGCAATTACTGGTAAAATTTAGCAATGATCTTTTAAACTTAAGCTATATATCAGCTCTTTGCAGTCCAAAAACTGTTCTGTGGGAACATATTGTAATGAAATGAAACATGCGCTAATGTTAATTACACATTCTGTAACAGTAATACATCTAATTAAACCACTACTATATGTTCTCATTAGATCTTCATAATGAAAATTTATATAGACCGATCTCATTTTAGACAGATTTTATTACAGTACCAGGAGTTAAAGAGATATTTTAACAGTTTTATATCAATTAAAAATTTGCAAACAAATTAAATATTTACAACTGCACTTTTTTGTACAATAATTTAGATATAATCAGCAAAACTTTTAATATTCAGGGCACAATTAAAGCTTTAATTAAATTAGACATTTCACTGATATTATCCCCCCAATCTTATAGAGTGTAATTAATTTAAAAGACATCATAACTGCCAATGAATAGTTAATGGAAAATTAAATTTGCTTTTAAATAAATTGCACAATCACTTGCGTATTTAACTTACATTAAAATTTTAATAATTATATACAGCAGAAATTTTTTAGAAGTTTTATATGAATGAAAAGTTCTTGAAAAAAATATTAATTATACTGAAAATAAATACATTAGAAATACAAGAAAAACATCTGGGTTGATTTTGAAAGGGAAATTATATATTCTTCTTCAGCAGTTTACTTAAAAATTAACTTTATTATAACATAAGTTGATTGCTAACTAGCTTCATTATACTTATTTATTTGCCTTCACTTTGTCTTTTGGCTGATTTTTCTGGTGAAATATTAATCAGACTCATAAAGTTACATAACAGACAAACATATACTTATTTTTTGCAAAAACAGTCTACAGGATTAAGTAACATATATTGCTCTGTTGGTGATAAATTAATGATTTGAGGGGGGAAAAAAACCATATTCAGTTCATTCTGCAAAAACTAGTTTTCAATGCAAAATTAATTTAGTTTCTTACAAACACATTTAAATGTAAATAAGTATCAGAACAGTTCACATTTTGCCGAGTAATTTATTTTAATGCAATTTTTTTCCATTTAAGATCTAATATCTGAGGTGTGAAAGATTTATTACACAAATGAAAAATTGCCAATCAAATTTTTAAAAAATGAGATAAAACATTCAAAGCTTTCATAACAAAATGCAAGTACTCCCCTCCAAATGGAGAATTCTCAAACTCGCCGCCTTATAAGGCAATAAATATATTAAAAATTTATTTGCCATTCTTCACCCATGTTGACAGCTGGCTTGCGTATAGTTAATATGTTCTTATTTTCATCATATGTGAATATAAGTTCACTAGATTTTACATCTGTTGGGAAAAAAAGAAAGCAAATGAAAGTTCCATGAAAAAGTATAAAGTATTCTAAAGTCATTTTAAATAAAATTATTGAAAATATGCTACATTAATAAAACATACATAAATATATAAATAAAGAAAGCAAAGTATAACAGTTACCCCTTATCCATAGATAATACATTCCAAGACATCATGAATCCCTCTTAATGCTATACAAAACATAATAGCTATGTAACATGCACAAAGTCTGAGATCCAGAATTGCTGGGTTTTTGGCAATTCTGGATTTTAGATCACCAGTTTAAATCTAGTACAATGACCTGGCAACAATGTGCTTCACTTTTTGTTTAGATCAGATAGAAAAAGTCTAAAAACTTACAAACACTCAAGAGCCAAATGTGTGACCCTGGCCAATATTGATACAATGTTAACCAATGTATTGTCATTGGCCATGGTGACACACCTAACCAACAGGTGTTTGAATGTGGTGTGCAGGAATGTCAGCTAATCAGGAAAAAATCTGAATCAAATTCCAATCCATCTTATTTAGAAAATCCTATACCTGCTTCCTTTTGTTGAGTATTATATTCTTTAATTTTAGAGTATATAAAGAGAGGGCAGAACCTGAAATGTATCACTTTATTTATTTTTCTGGCTGGCTGTCCAGGGCCTTTATACTACATAAACAAATCCAACATTTAAGACGTATTTTTAGGCTATACAAAGATATGCTTCAGAGTTTAAATTTCTATTTTTCTCTCCATAGGAGATGCTGGATAAAGAAATGTTATAGAATTCTTATTTCTATTATACTACTTATTTTGGAGTAAAAAACGGATATTTTCCTTCTCTACACTATACTACATTATATATATATGAAATATGTACCACCAGCTCCACCAGTGACTGAGAGGTTAAGTAATACCCCTCACTAGTAATTTAGGTTAAAATAACAAGCTCAACAAATATTAATTTAGAAGCAAAACAACAAAAACCAGCATTATATTTGCGGATTTTCACAGGACTAGTTTCAATGGTTTTACTGAACCACCATCCTCAGCTGCAAAAGTTCCAATGAACAAGATAAGATACGAATGACTGGACTGGAATTAAGCTACTGGTGCCATCTATTGATGAAACAAGAAAACTAAAGCATAATTCACTTAAAGGCTGGAATTAGGGTCGTTAACTAGAACAGTTTGATTTTTTTGAATGTCAAATGCCTCTAAGAAATCTAATTCACCAATAGATGTTTTTTGAGTAATTTTGGCTGCAGAAAAATGGAAAGTGTGGTTTTTGGACCAACAATGCTGGGCAACAGAGGACTTCTGCATTCCCTTTTCCTAACATATGCCTCATATTCTTTACAGTTATCCAAAATTGAGCTATGTAAGCTTCATCTGGAATTCAATGCCACTGAACAAAAGTCTTGGTCTAGAACTGAGAATGTGGTTAACTGTCATAAAAACACCCTTGCATTTAAAGTTTAAAACCTCCTTTTACAGTCTTCTAATTTAAGTAGTTTAAAAAAATCTTCCTATTATAAAATATTAATTCAATAATTAATATATCTAGTGTTCATTTATCAGAAGAACAAGAGAGAATTCTGAAATATAATTTTAACTTCTCACAAACCTCAAACCCCCCCTCCCCCGATTCCAAAGATTTTGGCTCCTATCAAAAAAGCTTTCAAATTCAGTAAAGTTTTAGATACACAGAAAGAAATGATTAGGCATCTTATCGTCCATAATGTGAAATTCAATAAGCCTTTGAAACCAAATCTAAATGTGAGAGAAAAAGCTACAATGTGCAAAATTTATTCTAACCCTGACATTATCATTTCAAAGGCCAACAAAGGTGGCCAGATACACATCATGGACAAGAACACTTACATACATGGTGTCACTAATCCATGGTGTCTTAAATGAAGGACCATATAATCTGATTCCTAAAGACCCTTTACCTTCGGACCTCTCATAAATAAAAACTGTGATCAAATCTTCACAAATCCTTTTGACCAACTTAAAACAGTCGCTTATCCCATCTGTTGCGAATTGTGCCAGATTAGTGGTATTCCTTTCCGCCCTAGTGTATCATATTTAGGCACTGCCTCGTACCCGCTAGCTAAATATTTAGTTTCTATATTTTTAACTCTAATAGATATTAACTTTTACACCATAAAAAATTCAATAGAGTTTGTAAAAAAAAGTTAAAAGCATTCCTCCTCGAAATTTATTCATGGTTTCCTTTCATGTAAAATCATTATTTACCAATGTTCCAGTGGAGGGTGCATTAAGATGTCTAGAATTCGAGAATTTCATTTCTCCTGCATTGAAACTGATGAGCTAATTTCCCTTACTCAACTCTGTTTGAAACAAATGCATTTTGTTTTCCAAAATAAGTATTGCAAGCAAACTGAAGGATTAGCCATGGGAAGCCATCTTAGTCCTATCCTGTCTAATATCTACAAGCATTATTATAAATCAAAATTATTTGAAACTTAAATTACTTTAAACTTACCGGTATGGTCCGCTAAGTAGACAACACTTTTACCCTGTTTGATGGTAATAAAGATGATTTAAATAAAGTTCTTTCAATAACGAATTCCATTGATCATGCTATTCAGTTCACTTTTGAACTTGATATATGCATTCTCTTCTGCTCCTCGACATTTTGGTCACACGTAACTAATCCAACTTCAGCACTACTGTTTACAGTAAACCTTCATCAGTTTGCCTTTCACCATACTTCATATCATCCAACTAAACAAAAGTTAGCTTCATTTTATTCCTTTGTTTCTCATGCACTTCAAGTTTACTCCAATTGGTTCTTGATCAAGAAGTAAATTATTTAAAAGCAGTAGCTATTGACAGGGGCTTTTCGCCCAACATTATTAACCAAACAGTTAAAAAATTATCAGTACACTAAAAGGCACACTCTTATTTTAGGAGATTATAAGAATTTTGTTGTTATTCCTTTCTTTGATATAAAATTGCACTTATTTTACAGAAATTTAACTTTCAGGTCTTTTATTCTCCTATAAATAAAATTTCGAGTTCCATACTTAAGGACCCTATTCCGGATATGAATTCCTGGGGTATTTACGGGATTCCTTGCCTATGTGGTTTAATTTACATTGGTCAAACTATGACAACCTAAAAATTTTGCATTAAAGAACACGAGGCATATATTAGGAAAAAAGGAAACACAGAAGTCCTTCGTTGCCCAGTACTGTTGCTCCAAAAATCACACTTTCCATTTTTTTACAGCCATAATTATTTATAAACCATCTTCTATTGGTGAATTAGACCTTATAGAGGCATTTCACATTCAAAAAATCTTTCTGTTGTAGGTAACAATCCTAATTCCAATTTATCTCCTCCTTCAGCTTTTAAGGAAACTGTTTTAATTTTCTTGTTTCATCAATAGATGGCACCAATAGCTTAACTCCTGTCCAGCCATTCTTGTCTTATCTCGTTCATTTGCACTTTGGCAATTGAAACTAGTCCTGTGAAAATTTGCAAATATAACACTGATTTTTGTTGTTTAACTTCTAAATGAATATTAGCAGTTTGAATCCAGTCAAATGACCTGTTGCATGGTTGTTCTTCATAGATTTTTCTGTATATAACATGAATACAAGCAAGTATCCCTAGAAAGTCCTCCATAAAGGTATCTCTTCCCTTAAGCAGATAGCCTTCATGTCCTTTGCCAAGCTTTAACATATGCACTACCTTATACTTTTTGAATATAGGTAAGAGAATTCTAACATAATCTACACCCCCTCTCCCCAAAAAAGGTGGAGAAGGAAAAAATTTAGTTTCTGTTCCGTCCAATATTTCATTGCTTCAAATGATGGTAGAAATATAAATCATTCTTTTTCCAACAAAGCAATGTAAAAAAACATTAAAGAGAAAAGGGAGAATTTCGCTATATATATATATATATCTATATTAAAAAAAAATAAATAAAAAATAAAAAAATAAAATGGCTCCTTCATTTTAAACTTTAATATATAAAAATTTACATTTTAAAATTGATCTTTATCTAATTTGGTACTAATCACATTAATACAATATCAAAATTCGCTATGCCATAAGCTGAATTAATATAACATTAGATAATGTTTACTGACTGAAAAAGTTTTAAAAATAACCCAAAAAGAACGAAAGGTAAAAAAATTTAGCTGAAGATTCATAGTCTGAATATATATTCATATTTTACTCATGGTCTTAATTCAGACACCAAATGCTAATGATGGCCATTACTACAGTCAAATACCAAAAACCCACTGACCTAAAATTCGGGTTGCATCTCAAAATATAAACATTTAGTTTATAGGTTCCGGAAACTGCAACATGGAGTATGAAACATCGAAGGAATAATACTTACTGGATAATGACGTCATAATTACTGAATAATAATGAGTCATAATGGAAATACCAAATTATTGACATCATGATAGTTTTTTCCCCTCCAATCTGCATCAAGGTAAAAAAGCAGACGACTCGACTCAACTTCAACATTAACTCAACTCTTCTTTCAAGTTCACACTTCACGTTGTTGTACTTTCTGAGCTTTGTTATTGCCGTTTCTTTTTAATCCGGATATTGTGTGGATAAATTAAGAATATTTTTAATTTCAGCATTTTTTAATACAATGACAGATAAGAAACACACTCATGATTTTACTGCTTGCAACATTGAAAAACATAAATACGCTGCATTGATGATAACGAAAAAAGTGGAAATTCTGCGAAAGATGGAGGCAGGCACTACTGCTCGGTTTACAGCAGAATCATATGAGATTGCCACACGGACTGTGCATGATATACAGAACAATAAAGAAAAGATGTTGAAATTTTACAGCAACAGTGATCCTAACACCGGAAATCTTTACATGAGGCGAAATCGACAAACCTCGATGCTGTCTTGTACAGTGGTTCCGGCAGCGGCGGAGTGATGGGGTACCTATTTCAGGACTACTCCTGACAGAAAAGGGGAAGCAGATTTATGTTGATTTAAAAATAGAGGAGCCTAATGTAAATGAACAATACAATATAATCAGTTTATATATGTAATAATAATTTAATGCATATAATTAATTATTGTATTAATTTATATAATAATTTAATTAAATGTATCTAATACCCCTTACTTATTTTACACTTTTAGTCTGAATATTATCTTTTCTGTTCTGAAATCAGCAAAATCTCTGGTCCCAAGCGTTGCGAATTTCTGACTTCTACTATATTTAATAACTTACGCCAAATGTAATTGCGATTATTCTGAAGTTTTTTCAAATCCTAACTTCTTTCTTAGTTCATCTGCTGTGAATTTAGATCACTGAATATTAGCAATTAACAGTGAATGGCATTTCAATAATACTTTTTTTTATTTTTGTGTACTTTTGTAACTTACCTATGAATTTACATCATTAGAGAGCACAAGTACAGCTTTTAAGATTACGATTATGAGCTTTTATGATTTATGACTGCTGCTGGATCTTAGAGAGGGAAATTAAAAATAAGAAGAGTGGAAAAAAGTGTTAAAATAAACTCAACATACAATCAAGAGAAAGATTTATGTCCGATATTTACAGAAGATATTCCATTTTTTATCCCAGTGACTTTCAAAGAGTGAAATTCTATCAAGACAAAACAAGTCATGTTTCTTACTTCCAAGTCCTCTTTCTAAACACAAACTCACCACGACTGATGAACTTTGGAAAGCAGTGAAAGAGGAATGGAAATCAACACCCCTGGAAATTTTAAGAAAAGCCCTTCTATTGTGGTAATCACGAAAGAGACTTAATAGTCCAGAAAAAAGGCTAATAAATGTAGCATTTAAAAAAGTAATTTTTATGTTTTAAACATTAATTAAATGGCCAAAAAATTGTTTTAAAAATGCAGAAAACCCTCTGTATAATTAAAAGCGCCTTTCATATATGATTTGCAGATTCAATATATAATTGATGAAAAAAAAATTTAAGAACGAAGAATTACAAAGCTGCAAGTACTCAATTTTCTAGGCAAACATTTCTCTGCACGAAACAGATTTGAAGCTAATTTATGAGATATGATTGTAAAAACACAGCACATGATTTCATGCAAATAACTTTAGTCAGAAAAAACCCATATGAAATCATTTGATAATAACCGAATTGCAGGGAAACAGACTTCTAGAAGTTGATTTGAAAAAGGCAATCTAATACCATTATTCTATTGAATTAATTCATTTTATTACGAATAATATGCAATCATAGTAATAAATGCTTACTTTTTCTGGATAGTGTGAGAGATTTTGGTTGCTTTTGAAGACCTACAACAATAATTCTTTCTAACCATGCATTTGTTTTAAATTTTCCTGGGCCTTTTAGAATTCTGTAAGCAAATAATAATTTTTAAAATATGATTACAATACAAAGATTGCTCACAAAAAACAAATCACTTGATCAAACTATTACAAATGAACAATACACAGGAATTACACACATAATTTTCTTAATAGTAGTGCTCGAATGGTATACATGCACATTTCCTGTAAGAAAACAAGAGTAGCACAGTTAAGGGACAATCCAAATGGGAATTTCTTAAAAGTCTATTTCTGCTACAGATAAGCCCAAGTGATTGACACCATCTTCCTTTTCACCATAATACCCAAAATATCATCTCCAGTTACATCCATAACATTGCAAACACAAAGCTAATGCAACTTTCTGACATAAGTTTGAAAGATTAAACATGTCATTCTGCCAGAGTTTATCTCTTTGGCCTTGAAGGTATATTGATTTTTGATGATTCAGACTTATAGCTAACCTGGCCATTTGAAATTGAATAATATGGCATCCCTTTTGGCCAGCTCATCTGTCTTTCTACTTCCAGGGATGCCACAATGAGAAGGAATCCATTGCAAAACAATCATTTTATGTTTTTCATGTAATTTTCATAGTAAGGATCTACACTGTATTATAGATAAGGAAACAGAAGCTTGGCAACCATTAGCAATTGCCAGTATTGCTGCTTGAGATTCTGAGAATATGACAAACTGTTCAGAAAGGGAAAGATGAGAATTTAGATGGGTCAAAGTAACTTTAATTGCCTAAACTTCACCATCGAATGCAGTCTTTCCAGTTCCCAGATAAAGATAGTGTGAGAAATGCTCACAGAAAATTCTGGCTCTTGCAACACAATTTATATCAAGATTTGAGCCATTAGTATAGATGTGCAACCAAGCATTGGGAGGAAAACGATTACAGATAGTTTCCATACCCTCACTGAACAAAGCTGCAGTACAATCTTGATTCTTCGAAACATGGTTCAAAAGATCCAAAACCTAGGAAGTCATTATAGCTTCCATAGGGTTAGTAGGCGGTAATGATGGCTCAGCCCGAGTCGAAATCCCAAGCCCATCCATCTCTCTCAAGACAGCTTGCAGGAAGCCCTCCTGGGTTTTCCATCTGCAGGGGTAAAGCCTTGAATTAATCCAAGGTTGAGTATGTGGTAAACATATTAATTTTTGACAGAGCCTCTAAAGCAGCTTTCTTTATTTCATACTGCATATATCAGAATATAATAATATGGCATCAATCAATATGTGTAGTCTTGACAGCGCTACATATAAGGCGGAGAACATAATTCTGCAACCATTCCAGTCTATTCATTCCTTTTTGAGAGACTATAATGAGTGGAGCACTGCAATAAGTCATTACAGGTTTTATGAAGATACTACAGGTAGCAAGAGGAGTTAAGGTTGTAGAACCCCATCTAACACCCACAAGATGTTTCAACAATTAAATAAATACACTTCTCAGTCTTTTGCTGAATATAATCAATATACAACTAAGTAAGTTTGTGATTAAAGATTACTCCTACATACTTGGTGTTCTTATTACATAGGAGGGCTGTGTTGTCATAAAGTAGTATTATGAATTTTGTATTTAAATAGGTAATTTTAGTAGAATTATAATTAAAACTGTTGCAGCATGAGACATAATTTAAGAGAAAGCTATGATGGAAATTAAGAACACAGAAGCATGTGCATTTAATTTTGAGTAAATGGATATTTCGGTAGTTTGTATTGAAACTGAATAAATGTAATTGACTGCTATGTTGGCCCTAACCATAATTTCATTCTTATTGCTTTCCAGTAATTTAACATAAGGGTTATCTTGCCCTTCCAGTCTGTCTATATGCAATGCTGCAGAGACAGAAACTACAATATCTTATCCTACCATTAATTTCACAAGAAATAATTTTGTATTGTGTCAAGTGCCTCATTCTGTAAATCACAAAAATTCAAGGATTTTCTGGAATTCAAATATAAACTGAATAACATGGTTATCAGTCACTAAGCTATCATATGCAGTCAGGGTATTAACAGTACTAAAAAAAATTTGTACACGAGGAGAAGGGATTTGTTTAATCTAAATGAAACAGCTTTTCAAAAAATGATACTTGCCATTTAAAACAGACTAACCTACAATTTAATCTCTAATGTTATTTGAACAATTTTAGTGATATTCCATACTTTCTATACATAATTTTATAAAGATTAATAACACACATACATAATCAGGTATTTAAAAAAAAACAGCAACTAACAGATAAGAAACATTTAAATAAGCAACAAATTTACAATGCTGGCTATTTTATAAATAACCAAATAATTATAATTTCAGCCTAAACTATAACTTCGCATTTCCATATTCCTCACCAGAATGTAAATTAGCAGTGATTACTTATTTAAACAAAGGCTTTTGAATCTGAGACAGAGAGTGTTTCTGGCACCACATGCATGTCACACGGCTAGTTTCCTACCAGCTTTAATAGTTTCACTTATTTGGGTTAGTGGTGTCTCACTGATGACACTTTAATTCTGATACCCTTACAGAGTTAGTAAGCCAGCTTTTAGAAATATTTAATTGCACAATCCTTGACTACTGTTCAATAATGGATTTAATTTGGGGTGTTTCATTTTATTTTGCATCACCATGAGTTGTAGAAATTTGTAGCACAAGATTATATTCTACATTCTGCTTAAATAAAAAAGTTATTTTAACCTTCTTGCGACTTATCATTGTTCTCAGACATAGCAATAATTTGCTTCATGTCTGTTAGGATTATTAGACTAAAATAGCATTACTAAATCAAGATAAAAAATCATTACATTTGTGGTTTTTAAATATGATGAACCTAATAATTATAATACTTCAATACAATGCTTTTTGATTTCTCAAATTAATAAAATGTTATAATGGAATTCAAAGCTTTACTAAGAAATCTTTCTTTAGGAAACTAAACTTTCATGTACAGAAAAACAGATATAGTTTAGTTATTCAGATAAATTGATCCTTAAGATAACAGTTTTCAAAATATCACATAAAACTATGAACTAAAAAAAAAAAAAAAAAAAAAAAAAAAAACAGTGGCTTAACAGCCCTAATGGGCCAAGGCCTGCAGTGCCCAAAATCTGCTTTCTTGACCGTGGGCCCCGGGGTGCGTAAACATATGAACAAGTGGTCAGCTTGTTGCAGGACCCCAGTGTTTAGTCCCCAAGTGAACTTGGTACTCATTTTATCGACCCAAGTGATGGAAATCAAGGAATGAAAGTCTGAGTCGACCTTCCCCAGCCCGGGAATTGAACCCCGAACCTGTGGTGCTGCTGCACGATGCGATAGCCACTGCACCACCAGGCCTCACATAAAACTATGACTCCATGAAAAAATTTAAAACAAAAACTTACTTTGAACTCAAAACATTTTTCTCAAAATTGAATTTAAGTAGTAAGTAGTTCCCTTCTCTATATTGAAATGAATTAAAATCATCAATATATAGAGTTCCATTGGCTTGGCTGCCCTATAAATGAGAAAAAAAGTAAATTAAAATTAAACTAAAACTGTTTTATAATGATTCAAGTCATTCAGAAAATCTGAAAAAGAATAAAATGAAAAATATCTGAAGTGAATATACAACAGAAGGGGGAATTTTACTTATCTATACATTTTACTCATATGTAATCAAGAAATTAACAGGCCAGCTTATGTACTTTGTAAGGCCAAAAACTCTTTCAGACAATATTAAAACTATGTACATGTTACTGCCTATTTAGAAACTTAATTAGTGTGGCTTTTTAACATTATCAGTGAAAAATCAAATCAATCTTTTTAATATTATCAGTTTCTCTAAATTTATTCAGTCAGAATAACAGGTTAACAGAATTAAAAAAAAAAAAAAAAAAAAAAAAAAAAAAAAAAAAAAAAAAAAAAAAATTCTGAAAGTCATTTATGTATTTTGTGAATGATTTCCTTTGCCACACACTGTATTAAATTTTTGTCATTTTTATATTTAATAGACTGTGGTAGTCTGATGTTCAGCTGCGTGTGCCGCCAGACCATGTCATGTTGTGTACGTAAAAACTGGCAGCACGACAGTTAGCTCGCCCACTTCGCATTAAGCTCAAGCGTAGGATGTACGAATTTTGTGTAGAAGTTATCTGTTAAGATAGTTGTGTTAAAAAATATGGTGTGTGTGAATAAAGTTATGTTTAGCGAAGCCGAGTCATGTCTTTGAAGGATATACACCAAGCCATAACCCAAGCACCATAAATGGTGACCCATCTACATGCATGAGGTTTCATACTGTTTGTTCGTTCAGGAGCTTGGTTCCAGGACATATGTGTTCTTCCCTACAGCCATTGCCATGGAGGAAACAGCAGCTATTAAGACACCAATTTACAATCGTATTGACCCGGCATTGTGCTTTCCTATGTGCAGATCAACTTTTGCTTTAGCCTCACCCAAGCCTTTATGGATCCAAGGACAAAATTCAACTACTGCAACACTCATTTGCCACTGGAGATTGCTCCAATGGTTCGAGATATCATTCTTTGGGAACGCACAGATTCTTCTAATGATGACCTCAAGGCTGCCATTACTGAATGATGTGAGGAAATAGTACCAATGAAATCCAGAAATTAATTGCCCATAAGCAACTTGGAAACAAAAAGGCATCAGAATCGCTTCGTGTCATGACAAGGTGAGCTAAAAAGCACAATGTGTCTGACTCATTGTTACTAGTTATTCATGCAGAAAATGTTGCCAAATGTTCAATCTATCCTAGCGTCGGTTGAGCCACTCGATTCATCAAAAGCTACCAGCATTTCTGATAGAATATTGGAAGTTACACTTGCTCAGGTAAGCACAGTTTCTTCACCTGTATCTAATAATTCTAAATCGGATTCACTACTGGATGACGTCTGCAAATTGCGTGGTGAGGTTTTGTCTCTACGACGATCATGGAGTGTTTTCAAAAATCGCTATAATAGGAAGTGAAGCCCTTCAGCTAAAGCTACTTCGAACTGTTCCTATTGCTGGTATCATTGCAAATTTAATTAGAAAGCTAAAACGTGTGTTCCACCATGTTGTTCCAGGGAAGGTGTAAAGGCGATCTGCGCTTTACCCGAGTCCTCTTTACCACTTCTGCGTCTCGTCGCCTTTCATCAGAGACAGAAAATAAAACACTTTTGTTCGACACTGGCTCAGATGTCAGTCTTCTTTAGGAACCAAAGATAAAGCACGTCAGACACATATTATGACATTTTCTGCAGCCAACATTACTCCTATTCTGGTTTACGGACAAAAATCTTTTAAGTATTGACCTTGGACTTTGTCGCAGTTTTAATTTTACTTTTTATGTGTGTTAAAGTGTCAATATTATTAGATCTGATTTTTTGCATTATTTTGATTTATTACCTGATTTAAGGAATAAAAATCTTGTTGATTTAAAAATGCCTTTAAAAATTAATTGCAGTGTAATTAACACACATTTGTTTTCTGTTAAAGCAATTATTACAAATTGTGTTTATGATAAATTACTGCCTAACTATCCTTCACTGTCGGAGCTTCTTGATCTTAATGAGACTGTTAAGCATAATGCTATGCATTTCATTGAAACCATTTTGTCCTCCTGGGTTTCATGTAAGCCCAGAAGGATAGCTCCAGAGAGATTAAAAATTACTAAGTATGGAATTAAAAAATGATGAGTATAGGTCACACGCTACCCTCCAAAAGTAATTACTCATCTCCTCTTCACATAGTGTTAGAGAGAGGCACAAACAAATGGAGACCTGCGGGAGATTTTCGAAGGTTAAATGCTCAGACACTGAAGAATAAGTATCCTATTCTCAACATTTGTGATTTTGCATGGAGCAAAGGTATTCTCTCGATTAGACTTGGTTAAAGCCTATCATCAAATTCCAATTAATCCCTCTGATATCCATAAAAAGGTTACTGCCACTTCTTTCGGACTTTTTGAGAGCACAAGAATGCAGTTTGGGATATGCAATGCAGCTGCAACCTTTCAACGCTTTACTGATGAAGTAACTCGTGAGGTGCCAGGAGTATTTGCTTTTGTGGATGATATATTGATTGCATCAAAGGACGAAACTGAGAATTTGATACACTTGAAAGCTCTTTTTGAAAGAGTAAGTAATTATGGGTTAAGAATTAATGTATCTAAATGCAATTTTGGTTTAACATCTTTGGAGTTTTTGGGTTTTCATGCATTGGAACAGGTTTTAAAACTTTTACCCGACAGGGTAGAAGCCATTCAAAAATTTCCAAAACCAAACACCTTAACTCAGTTAAGGAAATTTCTCAGCACATTTAACTTTTATAGATGTTTTGTCCCAAGAGCTTCACATGTTATAGCTCCCTTGAATAGGTTATTAGAAGGCTGCATTAATAAAAGGAAAACTTCAGAACCAAGAAAAACAAAAGAATACCCTCATGAATAGAACCACAAAGCCAAGAAAGCATTCGCCAATGCAAAAAAGGAAATTCTTGAGGCAGCCCTTCTCAGACACTTAATTCCTGGTGCAACCTTGAAACTTTGTACTGATGCATCGGACATTGCGGTTGGTAGCTCATTAATGCAATTGCATAATTAAATTTGGGAACCTGTTGCGTTTGCATCCGTTAAACTAAGCAAAAGTCAAAGGAAATGATCAACATATGGTCGAAAAGTATTGGTTATTTGTCTATTAGGAAGTTTCGGCATATGCATGAAGGCAGGGCCTTTACAATCTACACTGACCAAAAGCCCTTAAGATATGCTTTTAAGCAGAAGCCTGAAATGTGTTCTCAATAACAATTCGTCATCTTGATTTTATAGGTCAATTTTCCACTAACATACGATACATCAAAGTTCTTGACAATATTGTTGCTGATGCCTTATCTAGGGTAGAAATAGATGCAGTAGCTGATAATCAACACATTGGCTATAAAAAGTTATCCGAAGCACAAATTCAGAACTCTGAAATTCAAAATTCTTTATATCAGTCTTCAACCAGTTTAAAATTAGAGAAACATTACTTTCCTTTAGAAGACGTTACTTCTTACTGTAATATGGACACAGGTATACCTTGCCCGTTCATTCCTGAATCTTTTAGCTCCAAATTTTTCAGCAGATTCACTGTCTTTCTCAAGCCGGTATTTCAGCTTCAACATAACTTATTACTAAGCACTATTTTTGGTCTAATATGAAGAAATTTATTAAAACTGCAGTTCAAATCTTGTCTACAGTGTCCATCGTTCTAAAATTCATAGACATTCGAAATCATTATTGGGTACTTTTTCCTTGCCTGATGCAAGATTTGCACATAATCCATATTGATTTCATAGGTCCTCTTCCCGTCTGAAAGTAACCGTTATTGCATGACAATAATTGACAGAATTAACAGATGGCCGAAAGTTATACCTACTACCAACACGTCAGCTCAAACAACTTGCAAAGTGTTAGTGCAGACCTGGATAGCTAGATTTGGGTGCCCGGTATCAATAACAGATCAATGCCAAAATTTTGAATCTCACTTATTTAAGGGTTTATTGAAGATTTTTGGGTACACACTGAATTAAAACTACTGCTTATCATCCTCAGTCCAATGGGTTGATTGAGAGATTTCAAAGGCAACTTAAAAGTGTAATAATGGCTCATAAGAATCCAAAATGGACTGAAATTCTGCCTATAGTTCTGTTGGGTATCAGATCTGCCATTAAGAAAGATATAAATGCTACTTGTGCTGAACTTGTTTATGGTACCACACTTAGATATATTACTCTCAGATATGCTGAATGCTATTAATTTCGTATCTCCTTCTGAATCTTATGTGCCACAGTTTCGATCAGCCACACATTTAGTTGACCAATTCCAACCTCTAGGCATGGTCAACCATCAATTTATGTACACCCAACGCATCAAACCTGTTCTCATGTATTTCTGCATATTGATTCTGTAAAACCTCCTTTAACTCCATCTTACACTATTCCTCATGCTGCTGTTAAACGAATGGACACAAATTTTATTATTGACATAAGTAACAAAAAGATTACAGTTTCAATTATTGTTTAAAACCAGCATATGTGTTGTCAGAACGTATAGATTCACATGTAATTCCTCAGTTTCCACAGGTGCCTTTAAAAATTATTATGTCATCATTTGTCAATTATTATGTGGCATTTCCACAGTCTGTAAAGACTAAAAAAATTGCTTCAAAACAAGCAGTTACCCTCAGCGGATGTCGTGTTCATTTTCCTGAAAAACTAATCACTGTAATATGATTGAAGTTTTCTCTTGTGGTTTGCTGCAAAAGTCATGCTATATAAATACTTGATTAATTTTTTTGCATATGTATTGGGAGTTACATAAAATTCTTATTAACTTTTCATTATTTTTGTTTAACTAAGTTATTCATTGTACAGGTATATATTTCAATTAGCATTTAAGTGTATTATTACTATTCATATATTTTACATTTCTTCTTCTTCTTCTTCTTTTTTTTTTTTTTGGTACTTTTTTAA